TCCTCCTCCTCCGCACGGCGTGCCCCGGCCACCGCTCTTCGGCGCAGTTCTCTGCGTGGGGCCAGCGTAGCGACAGCCCGCCTGGGGCGACGCCAGGGCATGCCATCGGCGGGGGAGGGGGGGGGAGGAGAGAGGGGAGAGGGGGGAAAACCAGTCCCGACCCCGCGAAGGGACGGACAGAGGATCCAGAGCGAGGCCTCGGGCCCACCTGCAACAAAAGGAGGGGGAGGAGGAGGGGGGGGGGAGGGCGGAGGAGGAGGAGGAGGAGGAGGAGGAGGAGGAGGGCGGAGGAGGAGGAGGAAGGGGAGGGGAGGGGAGGAGAGGGGGAGCAAACGAATTCCTCAATCGACGCCGCGCGGCGTGCCGCGGCCACGGCAGGCAGGCGCAGAGTCTCCCACGTGGGCGGAACTGGCGACAGCCAGCCTGGGGCAACGACGGAACATGCGGAGGGAGGGGGGAGGGAAGAGGGGAGGGGGGTATGCAGAGGAGAGAGGAGAGGAGGAGAGGAGGAAGAGGGAAGAGAGGAGAGAGGAGAGAGGAGAGAGGGGTATGCAGAGGAGAGAGGAGGGAGGGACAGGGAAGAGAGGAGAGAGGAGAGGAGGAGAGGAGGAGAGGGACGGAACATGCAGAGGGAGGGGGGGGAGAGGGAGCGGGAGCGGGAGGGTATGTGACGAAGCGTTGTTTTGCTCCAAGCGCAGGGGGTATACCTCGGGCCGCCGGGACACACTCTGCTGGAGCGTCGTCTGACCACGCCCGCCAGCCCAGGGACCAGGTCCCAGTTGGCTAGACCGAAGACGCGTAGACCACCCGCACTACCGCCCCACGGTCGAGTCTCTCGTGCTCGGCCCGCCAGGCCCGCTGATGAGGTCGAGATTGAGAGCCTTGCTGATGCGCTTGAAGCCGCGGGGGCTAAGCGGAGCGATGCGCAGTGCGGAGGGCTTCTGTCCAGGACCATCTGCAGCGTCGGAGCTGCCGCGAGTGAAGGAGCTCGGGCGGTCTCGGGCCGCGGACGGCTCGGATGGTGACCCTGAGGCCCCTGACGGTGAGCTCTCCTGACGCTGCACCCGCCTTTATGGCCGTCCACCACCACCACCACCACCACCACCTCGTTGCCCTCTCCCCCTTCACTTCCAGATGCTTCCTCCTCCTCCTCCTCCTCTTCCTCCTCCTCCTCCTCTTCCTCCTCCTCCTCTTAGATTCTGGATTCGTCGCCTCCTCTTCTTCCTCCTGCTTCTTCCTCCTGCCCCTCCTCCTCCTCCTCCTCCTCCTTTTGGCCCTCTCCCCCTCCGTTTCCAGATGCCTGCTCCGCTTCCGTGCCACTCGCCTCGCCTCGTATCCATCCTTCCGCCCGCGCGCGCCGTGTGCCGGGAGAGGGCCACGGCGGGAGAGGGCCACGACGACGACGACGACGACGACGACGACGACGACGACGACGACGAACACGATGAACACGACGACGACGGCGGGAGAGGGAGAGGATTTATTGCCAGAGGCCGCCAGCAGCAGGACCACAACATCCGATCTTACTGCTCACGTCGTCGTCATCGTCGTCGTCTTCGCCGCCGCCACCGCCGTCGGTGTCTTCGTGGCTGTGGTGGTGGTGGTGGTGGTGGTGGTCGTCGTCGTCGTCGTGGTTGTCGCCGCCGCCGCCGTCGATGTCGTCGTCGTCGTCGGTGTCGTCGTCGGTGTCGGTGTCGTCGTCGTTGTCGTTGTCGTCGTCGTCCTCGTCGTCGTCGTTCAGGGTCGGCGGCACCGGCCGTAAGGCCTCTCCAATTTGATCTTACTGCTCACACTTGGCCGCCCCGATACGCAACACGCAAACCGTAGCGTGTTGACACGGACTTCAACACGCAGGTTGAAACCGTACGTTTGGCGCGATGCGTTCGCCAAAACGTGGGCCAAAACGTCGAGAACCAACACGCAGCGTGTTCACACGGACGTTTTGAACATGGCACGCGTCGCGTTTCAGAACGGGAATATCCGGGCAGCTAAGTGCTCACAGGTTCACCAGGTCGGAGCTGCTGCTGCAAGCGCTGAGGCGGCCAGCTCCGAAGGATGCTGCTCGTGTCTGCACGTTGCCTCAACACTCCCACCAGCCTGCTTTCCTAAATGCTGCAAACACCTTCGATCAATCTTCGGCTCCTGCAAACTGGGGAAGACAAGCGGACGAGCGGATGAGGAGCAGCAGGGAAGGAACAAAAAAAGACGGAGGACGAAGAGGAGGAGGAGGAGGAGGAGGAGGAGGAGGAGGAGGAGGAGGAGGATCAGCAGCAGTATCATGATGGACGGATGGGGGGAGTGGCGAAGGAGGAGAATTAGGAAGAACAGGATGGGAGGGGGAGGCGGGGGAGGGGGGTAACGAGGAGGTGAGGATACAAGGCGATCTGCTGCCCGCGGCATCGTCTACGTGGCCTCCCATGCCCCACGCCTCTCCTCAAGCGACGTTGCCGCTGCCAAGAATATGATCGTACCACTTGGTCTCACCCTGCAGCGAAAAGGTTCCGTGCTGGCTTTCCTGATTCAGAGCATCTGGACCACGGAGACGGCGCAGGCGGCAGGCTACGAGGTGAAGCTAGGACAATGAGTGTGGACACCGCGCTGATGACTTCCGACACCGAATGCTCCACTGCCCCAAGAGGGAAACCATCGGAAGCGGAGCTTCAGAGGCTGCGCGACCCCCTCCCCAAAGACTCTCCTTTGCATCGGAGGTTCCAGTTCGTTCCCGATGTTCCAGGGGATCCTCCTCCTTGGACGGGCCTGGACTTTGGGGAGCTCTGGTGCGCGCACCCCAGCTTAACTCAGGCCGAAGCGCTCAGGGTCCAAACCTCCAGAGGCCAAACAACAATGATCTCCCGAAGGGGTTTTGCGAGGATGTTGCTTCCTCGCCTTGTTCGACCCTCTGGGGCCCATGGCGGCCCAAGCAGCCTCCAAGCTTAGCTGCCCCGATACGCAACACGCAACACGTAGCGTATTGATACGGAGCTCAACACATAGACTGAACACGTAGGTCTGACGCGACATGTTCGCCAAAACGTGGGCCAACACGTTGAGCCACCACGCAACGTATTGACACGAACGTTTTGAACACGGCGCGTGTTGCGCATCATAATGGGCGTATCGAGGCAACTAAGCCTCTAAGATGGCCCCAAGACGGCCCGCAAGCGGGCCCCTTAAGACGGCACAAGCGGGCCCTACGATGGTCGCAAGGGGCCCCCAAGACGGCTCAAGAGGTTCCCAAGACGACCCAAGAGGACCCCAAGAGAGCCACAAGGCGGCCCGAGAGGCCCCCACGACGGCCTCTGGAGGAGCCCGACGTCGCAATGGCGCCCCAAGACGGCCCAAGGGGCCCCCAAGAGACCACAAGAGGCCCCAGAGGCCCCCAAGAGGCCCCCGGGGGTCCTCAAGAAGCTTCCAAGAGGCCCGCAAGAAGCGCCCAAACGGCCCCAAGAAACCACTAAGAGGCCCGCATCCGCCCTTCGGGGCGTTGGCAGCGCCCTGGGGCGGGTAGAACGGCACGGCAGAACTTCGCGGCAGACGAGCAGGGCAAACCACCTAACGCCCAGTCTTTACGTGCCCTGGACGTGCATCCCGCGAAGCGAGGGGAATACACGCCCGGAAGGTGACGTGCTGAGCGCCAGCGTTTTCCGCGAAGGCCTTGATGCAAGATATCCTGCGTCGTGCGTATCCACTCGTGCTTATCATCACATATCAGCTCGCATCTTATTGTGCAACGCACCCCCCCGCAACGGAGTCACGCCACATCCGTGGACCCAACGATGGCGGACCGATGATTTGAGCCTCTTGGGCCTCTTGGGGTCCAAGCTTGGAGACGGCTCAAGATGGCTTCCAGACGGCCCCAAAACTGCTCTGCCCCAAGGGTGCACAAGAGGCCCCCAAGACGGCCCCAGAGGACCCCAATGGGAGGGCCCAAGAGCTGCTCCAGAGGCCAAAAACAATGATGTCCCGCAAAGATTTGCAAGGATTTCGCGTTCTCGCACCCTTCGACTCTCGGGTGACCATGACGGCCCAAGCAGCCTCAAAGCTGGCCGCAAGACGGCCACAGTGGCCCCCAAGAGGGCCCCAAGACGGCCCCAGAGGCCCCACGATGGCCGAAAGAGGCCCCCAGGACGGCTCAAGAGGCCTCCAAGACTGCCCACAAGGCGGCCCCGAGGGGCCCCCAAGACGGTCTTCGAAGGGGCCAGACGGCGCACTGGCGCCCCAAGACGGCCCCGAGGCCCCCAAGAGACCCCAAGAGACCCCGAAAGGCCCCAAGGGGCTCCAGGAGGCCCCCAATGGGTGTGCTCGTATGGCGTCTGCGAGCCCATGTCGGCACACCCCTTGCTGCTTATAGCTGCCTTTCGTTTAGACTGGGTTGGGCTCTCCGCCAAGCGACTTCCACCTGCGGCCCCAGAAGTCCCGACCCCTCCTCTGAGGCCACGATCAATGTTCGATGCTCCGGGAACCATCTGGTGGCCCTCAGTGGCCGACATCGAAGAAGCACGCCCAGATGGAAAAAAATCAGATCGTCGGATATCTGGGTCGTTTTTTCATTCCTAGAGCAACAAAAAGGTAGGAACATAAACGTTCGGCGCTCCGCACTGACTTCTTGGATATGCGCTGGGCCCCTCTCCCTGGCGCGCGGAGCGCGCCGGGGGCGGTGCCGGAGGCGCCGCCAGGGGGAGATCCAGCCGCAGATCCGAGAAATCCGCGCGGAGCGCCAACAGTTTATGCTTATGGCGTTTTTCTTCTTCGAATATTTGGGTCGCTTCAAGATGCCTTGCAGAAGAAACCCAACCCTGAGACCCCAGGACGTCCCTCGATTTCTGGTGCGGGAGCGCCACGCTTTCCACAGCCAAGCCATCGAAACCCAAGAAACCCAGGGCACCCTGCAGGCAAGCAGGGTGTTTCCTGGCATGCGTCTCCGCTGCAGTGACCCTCGGCGGCCGACATCGTCGGATATCCGGGTCGCTTCATTCCATCGCCAGCGGGGCCGCGCGCGCTCCTTCCGAGTGCATCTCGCGGTCGGGGTCCACCTTGTCCGGGCAGCCCTGGCGCCCGCCCGCGGACGAGCTGTCGTCGATGTCGATGTGTCGTCGTCGTCGTCGCCGTCGTCGATGCGTCGTCGATGCGTCGTCGCCGTCGTCGATGCGTCGTCGTCGTCGTCGTCGTCGTCGTCGTCGTCGTCGATGTGTCGTCGTCGTCGACGACACGTGGTCGCCGTGGAGGCGGAGGAGGCGGAAGCGGGGGAGAGAGGAGGCAGGAGGGAGGGAGATGAGGGGCCAGAATCCACCGTGCCCCGAGGGATTGTAGAAGTTTTTGACGGTGTCCAGGTTACTGCATCGTGCTGGCACCGTTTTGGGAATGGGAGGAGTAGGGGAACGAAGAACGACAGAAACGTTAAAACTCGGAGGTCCGCGCGGACCTCCGACTTGTTATGCTTGTGTCATTCTTCGTTCCCCTAATGGGGTCGCCGTTCGCCCAGCAGGAATTTCCTCAAAGGACGCCTGCACGACGCAGAAGCTCTTAAATCCCGGCTGAGCAGCCGTGCGACGCGTCCCGGCTGCCCGAGTGGCCGCTGGTGTGCCGCGCGACCGCGCCGCGCCGCAGCGCCTGCCGACGCCGATGGCGTCCTCAACGACGACGACGACGGCGACGACCACGACGACCACGACGACGACGACGACGACGCTAGCGGCGATGACACCGGGCCCCCCGAGGTTGGAGGGCAGACCTTCTCGCCGACGACGACGCTGAGCCTGGCTTTGCTCAAGCTTCCGCCCGGTGGCCGCCCGTGGACGCGTCGCGGGCCTCCCGTGCTCCGGCAAGGTCTTTGCTGCTCTTGCGGCTGGTGCCCGCCCGCCCGTGAACGCTCCGTGCGCAGGACGAGTTTTTAGGTCGGGCAGGTCATCCTACAGGCGGATTTGGGAAGAGAAATAAGAAACAGTCAGAACATGATCCCAAGCAGTCAGAATCGGTAGCAAAATCGTCCCCAGACTCTTTGTCGACCATTTTTGAAAGATTCCTCTGGTAGAGGGACATGCCCGACTTCAGACGAGCTTTCAGGGTTTCCTGCTCGCTTCCGCCCGTGGGCGCGGAGGAACCTCCCGAAATGGTCGACAAAGAGTCTGGGGACGATTTTGCTGCCATTCTTTGCTGCTTGGGATCATGTTCTGGCTGTTGCTTATTTTTCTTCCAAAATCCGCCCGTAGGATGACATGGCCGACTTAAGCGACGAGCTTTCAGGGCTTCCTGCGCGCTCCCTCTCCTCTTGTATCACTCCGCTTGCCTCCTCAGCAACTGCATCTTCGACGAGACTGACATGCAAGCACAAAAGAGAAGCAGTCCTGGGCGCAGAGGTCAGCGACACCGACAGCCCTCCTTTCCCTCCCTCCCTCCCTCTCTGAGTTCGGATCTGCCGTACTCTGGCGATTTCGTAAATAGGGCAGAAAGTTCCGCTCTACTGTTCAAGCTCCTTGGATACCAATGTCCGCGGCACTTTGCCGTCGCTGGTTCCGCCTCGCCTTCGCAGACATGTCTGCCCCACTTGTCTGACGCGGAAGCTTCCGCCCCACTGTTTCGCATCGATTGGGACGCACTTCGGACACAAGTTGAAGCTGGAACATCGACCACCGTAAAGGCAGAGCCGAGGTTGGGGCTGGGCTCGGCGACGCCTGGTGCCTTTCGGGTTAGGTCCGGGCATGTCTTCCTACAGGCGGAGTTTGGACGAACATTTCGAAAAAAAAAAAACCCAAAGTAGTCAAAATTAAACAAAAATAATCCAAAGATTGTCCCCAGACTATTTTTTTCGATTTCTGAAAATTTTCGCCCTGTAGGGGGACGTGCCCGACTTAACTTTCGGGTCACAACTCGGGCCTCCAGCGGCGATCTGGACCGCTCCGGGCACCCGCGGAACGCTGTCGGCGAGGCGCAGCTGCTGGAGAGCACCCCGCGGCCAGATAACAACCGAGAGCTGACGAAAACGTCCGAAACCTCGAGCCTCGAACATCCTCCTCTCTGTTGTTGAATGTTAAGTACTAAACAAGTATTATCGTTGGACCCCCCCCAAGCGCCCTGGCGCTCTCGCCTCGGCGCCGGCTACATTTTCATTGAAAATGAGGCTCACGCTCGAGCGGTTTGAGGGGGCGCCAAAACGGGCCCTCCAACAAAAACAACAACACCAACAACAACAACAGCAGCAACAACAACATCAACAACAACAACACCACCACCACCACCAACAACAACAACAACAGCAGCAGCAGCAGCAACAGCAGCAACAGCAGCAGCAACAACAACAATAACAATAACAATAACAATAACAAGAACAATAACAATAACAATAACAATAACAATATCAATAACAACAACAACAACAACAACAACAACAACAACAACAACAACAACAACAACAATTACTAGCACGTGGGGACACACCGTTCTCACCAGTGCCAGGGTTTTCATAGGAGGCGGGCAATACCCCCACTTTGTGGGGGGGCCGGTTCAAGCTCTACCAAATTTCCAAACGACTCTTCGCCACCACCCACACCCAGCTTCCCGCCCTATGACGTTCGGACACTTCACTTCGTGGCATGCGGACGACCGTGGCTACTATTCAGGGCCCCGCGGCCGACGACGACGGCGTGCGCGCGCGAAGAAAAAACGAATGTGTCCCGCATGGTATTATTTGACAGGGATGATGGCCCTGGCAGGTGCGCAACCGTTGTTGCAGAAGTTCGAAAAAGTTGCTCGCAAAAGCCCGTTTGACAGAAATGATTAAAAAGTGTTGGGTTTCCTACGAATCCGCAAGAGCGCGCGGGATGAAATTTTGACAATTTTTTTTTGAAAAACCATTGGTTTTTGATGTTTTTATGTTAAAATCGCTACGAAAACTAAGGTTTTGGAAGGATTTCGTCTTGCGCGCGCGAATGTCCACTTTACCTTATTTTTTGCAAGGGATTCTTGAAGTTTGGTTATGTTAGAACAAGAAATGTCCACTTTAGCTTATTTTTTGCAAGGGAAAACCGATCGTAACAACACAACCGGATCTGGATGACATCGTTTTACCTGAGACTTCCTCACGAAAATGATGAAAATGAGGCTGCGGCCTAGGCGCGGCGGGGGGGCCATGCACCAAGGGTCCAAACAATAATTATTCTTAAGAAGAAATAATGCTCAACAACAACAACAACAGCACCAACACCAACAACAACAACAGCAACAACAACAATAACAACAACATCAACAACGACAATAACAACAGCAACAACAACGTTCCGCTCGAGACTTCCTCCTTTTTTACTCAGGGCTGGTGCTCCTGGTCGCCGCTGAAGGCAGCCGTCCCAACAAAACCAGCGCTACCGCTCGAGACTTTCTCCTGTTTTACCTTGGACTGTCTCGCTACTCTTTCTCTCATCGGCGCCGCCCCCAGCAACAACAACGCTCCCGCTCGAGACTTCTTCTTGCTTCACTAAAGGCGGTGCTCTTCCTCGCCGCCGAAAACCGCCGTCCCGACAAAACCAGCGCTCCCGCCCGAGACTTCCTCCCGTTTTACGCTGGACTGGCGCACTACTCTCTTTTGAATTGGCGCCGCTCCCGGCAAGAACAATGCTCCCGCTCGAGGCTTCCCCTTTGTTTCCTCACGACGGCGCTGTTCCTCGCCGCCGACAGCCCCCGTCCCGACAAAACCGCGGCTACCGCTCGAGACTTCCTCCTTTTTTGCTCAGGGCTGGTGCTCCTGCTCGCCGCTGAAAGCCGCCGTCCCGACAAACCAATGCTACAACTCGAGACTTCCTCCCGTATTACCTTGGACTGTCGCGTTACTCTTTCTCTTATCGGCGCCGCCCCTAGCAACAATAACGCTCCCGCTCAAGACTTCTTCCATTTTCCCAACCATCCTGTGGTGTTGGGTCCTCGTTTTGAAGAAACGGTCCCCGCATTCCTCTCCTGTCATCCCTCCTCCTCCCCCTCCTCCCCTTCCTCCCTCCTCCCTGCGTTTCACCCACCCAGTACAACGCGTCGTGGCCTCATAGGGAGCCCACCGAAGGTCCCAGTTCTACCGCCCGCAAGCGTCCCGCACACCCAGTACAGCGTTTCGTGGCCCCCTCCTCCCTCCTCCTTGCGTTGCACCCACCCAGTGCAGCGCTTCGTGGCTCCATGGGGAGCCCCACCGAAGGTTCCAGTGAGACCGCCCGCATGCGTCCCGCACACCCAGTACAGCGTTTCGTGGCCCCCTCCTCCCTCCTCCCTGCGTTTCACCCACCCAGTACAAAGCTTCGTGGCCCCATAGGGAACCCCACCAAAGGTATTTTTTCCGTGCCCCCTCCAGCGTTTCGTGGCCCCCTCTGGTATCCCGCACACCCGGTACAGCGTTTCGCGGCCCCCTCCTCCCCCCTCCCTGCGTTTCCCTCATCAAGTACAAAGCTTCGTGGCCCCATAGGGAATCCCACCGAAGGTCCCACTGGGACCGCCCGCGTGCGTCCCGCACACCGGGTACAGCGTTTCGTTGCCCCCTTCCTCCCTCCTCCCTGCGCTTCACCCGCCCAATACAGCGCTTCGTGGCCCCACATGGAGTTCTACGGAAGCCCCCATTGGTACCGCCCGACACCCACTTTGGCATTTTCGCACACCCAGTACAGCGCTTCGTAAGCCCATAAAGAGTCCCACCGAAACCCCCAATGGGACCGCCCGCGTGCGTCCCATACACCCAATTTGGCATTTTCACTTCCCCAGTACAGCGCTTCGTGGCCCCATGGGGAGCTCCACCGAAGCCCCTAGTGGGACCGCCCACATGCATCCCGAAAACTTCATGTGGCATGTTCGCCCACCCAATGCAGCGTTTCGTGGCCCCATAAGGAGCTCCACCGAATCCCCCAGTGGGACCGCCCGCATGTGCCCCACACACTCAGTTTGGCATTTTTTCACCCACCCCCACCCAGTACCGAGCTTCGTGGCCCCATAAGAAACCCCACCGAAACCTCCAGTGGGACCGTTCGCATGCGTCCCGCAAACCTCATTTGGCATTTTCACCCACTCAGTACAGCGCTGCGTA